GTTGCTGAAGACAGAACATACACTGGACACAGGATTTGGAGCAACGGAGCTGGGGCTGATATCGAAGCCACCTCCCCGAAGGCTAGCTCTCATAGCTTTGGAGAGGACTACACAAGCTGCTAAGGGAGAACATCAATCGAGGTTCAACTCAAGCATCAAGGCCTAAAACCACATCAATGACCAGCACAACAAACGACATTGGTGCAATAGTGGCACTTTATCTTGGAGGTAATCAACAGATAACTAATTAGACTTAAAGTACACTCAATAGGAGGAAACTCATGCGTGGTACTGTAATCCTAGCTAAATACACCTAGCTGGAGAGGTCATAGATCCTAGCAAAATCTCCAAGGCTGTCACTTGCCTAGACAAATGTAATTTCTTACTATGTCCAAAATATGGATCTTTAAATTTGTAAGCAAGTATCCCAATCACCACCCATCAAAGAAGCTTCTTTTTCAAGAGGCAGAGATAATTACAGAGTTCCACAACTAGTCACACACAGAGACTGTCTGTGAAGTGCCCAAGGCTAAGTGGCACATCTAGGATTCAACCTCTACACCTAAGGCTCATGGAACATAGAACAAGGGATGAAGAGAACACTAATGCATCTTTCAACTCTCATCAATGAAGCTCACTCATGCAACAGAGGGCCAGGAACACAAAAGGTCACAAACGGCCAAAATGCAGAGAATAGGAGTTTGCAGAGTGTGGGTCCTTGCACAGGACTCCTATATTAAAATCCACACACATAGGGCTCAGGGACCATTGCAGAAGAGGGGGCAGAAAGATTGTAAGAGCCAGGGAGGAGGTGCAGGACCATATGGAAATAGTCCTACAGGTACCAGAGACCCTTCTCATACAAACCTTCAGCAATGGTGTCAGCATGCACAAGACCCATGAAAACTTAAGCAGACAAAACCCAGCATAGAACTGTGGAAATGAACAGCAAGCCCCAATCTTAGTCGAAGAATTATTGGCAGCTGATTCCTACTGGGTGAGGAAGAGCTGATCTTCTTGAAATGAAAGACTCTAGATAGGGTGACTAAACCCTGGTGGATGAACTTGCACTGAGAGACATCTAGGGACACTAACTTTACATGATAGGCCTTATGACAGAAAAATGACACAAATGACAGAATGTATGAACTCAGTGGATAAGGACACATGACATCAAGTGTGACAATGTACGTTTGATCCCTGAGGCCCACATGGTGAAAGGAGAGGACTGACTCTGACAAGGTGTGCAAAAAGAAGACAAGACTCCTACTTTAGTCTAAAATAGTTTACTATGCCTTCAAGCCTCATTTGTCAACTGAAGAATTTCTATTAAATCTCTTTAAATTTCTGATTCAGTGATTATGCTCAGACAGTGCTACTTGTTTTTTTCTAACTTTGAATATTCTTTTTAACCTATGATATACCCTTTTATTATAAGATCTAATCTCCACATCGTCATCATGGCACATGTATGTGTGTGCAAACACACACACATACAATAAATGAATCTTTAAAAAAAAAAGTAGCTATAAAGGCAGTCTAGATTACCAAAACACTCTTAAATGAAGAAGCATACCTACAGTATCAGAAAAAGTAATTCCATGAAAATGTCACCACTGGGGGACTGGAGAGATGGATCAGTGGTTGAGAGCACTGGCTGCTCTTGTAGAGGATCCAGGTTTGACTCCCAGTACCCACATAGCAACTAACAACCATCCATAACTCCAGTTCTAGGTGATCTGATGCCCTCTTCTGACCTCTGAGGGCACTGCGTGACATTGGTGCACTTACACACATACAGTCAATACACTCATACACATAAAAATGATAAATAAAACAATTTTTAAAAGAAAATGACACCACTGGGACCCAAGAACCTACATATCAGAGAAGGGCCATAACTGCCCATATTAACAGACGCTTGGAAATTAGAAGTAGATCACTTAATGTACTCACCTTTTATCTGGGGGGCTGGGGGGAGCAGGTACTGAGAACTGAACCCAAGGCTTCCTACATGTTATGCAGGCACTCTACCACTGAGCTATATCCACAGCTTGTCACATGCTCACTTTAATGAATATAATTAGGGTTTCAGCTTCTTTCCAAAAGAAGTCCTAAAACATTAATGTGCAGCATTCTATCAATGTGTATGTTAACATTTCTGTCCCACAGAAGAAAAGCTAAGAAATACACAAATGTAAAGACATCCCTGAAAAACAGGTGCTGGTGGTCAGAGAATCAAGAACTATCAAAATAAAGCTTTTACAAAACAAGGAGTATCTATCTGTGAGGTAAAGAGCTCTCTTTATATGTTATTATAATAAAAGGCATTTCAGAGCTGGGGAGAAGGCTCAGCTGTTGAGAGCACTGACTACTCTTGCAGAGGACCTGGGTTCGATCCCCAGCACCCACATAGCACCTAACAACCATCCATAACTCCAGTTCCAGGTATCTGATGCCCTCTTCTTACCTCCATGGCCACTGCACGACCCAGGTTCAGGCAATACACTTACACACATAAAATATAATAAATAAGAAATAAAATTTTAAAAATTCTTTAAAAAAAAGGGCATTTAATGAGTTAAAAACAATATTAAAAATTAGAAAACAAGGGGCTGGAGAGATGGCTCAGCAGTTAAGAGCACTGATTGCTCTTGCAGGGGACCCGGAATCGATTCCCAGCACCCACATGGTGGCAACGAACCGTCCTTAACTCCAGTTCCAGGTGAATCCAAAGCCCTCTTCTGACCTCCATGGCATTGCATGACATGGGTGCATTCACATACGTGCAGGCAATACACTTGTACATATAAAATAAAAATAATAAAATATTAAAAAAAAATAGTTGTGGTCTCAAACTAAGACCAAGGCTGTTAAAGCCATGACTTAAATCATACCCAGGTTAAGGCGAACTGGACTCATAATAAATAAAATTTTTTTTTAAGTTTAAAACAAATTAGAAAACAAATAGTATGGCCTGTGCATAATCAACGAATCAAAAATTTAAAGTCAACAGAAATTCATTAGCTGACAAATGAGGTTTAAAGGAGTAGTAAATTGTTTTATAACTAAAGCAGAAGTCTTGTCTCCATTTTGCCCAAAAGTAGATGTTTTGTCTGCAAAGTTAATACACTCTCCACTGTAAAAATATTCTTGTATAGTTGGTTTCTATTTGCTTAAATTTTGCACCAAATTCACCCAACTCCTCATATGTCCTTAATACAAAGTTCAAGAGTTGTAGGATTCAAACAATGTATCATCTTTTCTTGGGCCACCTTAGGCAGTCTACATCTCACAATAAATCTCTGTTTCATTGTCCTCCTTCACCTTCTTTAGCTTTGTAGATGCATTTCTGATGTTGTCACTACCAGAAGTAAAGTGCCATTTTCCTTCCAGTGGATGGTGTCAGTTCCTTCAACAAAGCAGGTAGCTCCTTGGTTACAACAGAAAGCAATGTCCATTTCAGGTCAAAGGTAAAGACATGTGCAGCTGCCAAGGTGGAGAAGGCCCTATCATTCCAATGTGCAGTTCTTCTCTGTTAGTGTACTCTGGAATTCAACAGGTAATCATTTTCAAGCATCCCAGGAGGTCTCCATATTTAAACTTCCAAATGTGGCTTTTAGTCTTGAGATTTGAATGATGGTGCTGTCCCTTATAACTGGGATAGATCAGAAAGTATACTTAGCTTGAACATAGGGATCTGGCTCAAGGTGGAAAAAAACATTTGTAGGGATGGGCTAACAATGCCCAGAGTGGCTACCCAAGGCTGGATGCCAGTCCAGAGTCACTGCCAACTACAGTGGCCTCGGTTACTATATTCTTCAGCTCCAGAAATTCTACTTGCTCCTTTTTATTTTATCTCTTTTTTTGAACCCCTTTCTGTCCTCATATTGTCTTGTTAAAGGCCTTATGGTCTCTTAGAGCTCACAGAACTTCCAAAGAATGAATGTTCTGAATACTTTGTCAAGATATTTATAGATGTCCAAGTGTCTCAGTCAGTTACTGGGAATTTATTATGTTCCTTTGGTGGAGTTTGTTCTTCCTCATTTTCAGGTTCCTTTTATTTCTACGTTGCTGTCTGTTCATTTAAAAAAGTAGTCACCTTGTCCAGGCATAATGGACTGGCTTTGGTACGGGAAGCATGTCCTGTAAGCATTGACAGGGGTGATCAAACAGAAGTGTATTGCTGCACTAGGGCTGACAGCAATGTGAGGTGCACAGTATGGGCTGTATATACTCTGGGTCCAGAGGTATGCAATAGGAGGGCAGTTTGAGGGCTGTGGCTGGTAACATCAGTCACCATCAGTGTTCATCAGGTAAAAAGTTCCTAGGTATTGTGAACACCTGCACAGGATGCTGCCCTCCTCACAACATCTCTGTGTTAAACAGTAAATATACCAGGTAAATAAGGACCAGGACATGACATGGTAGGGGCCAGGGCTAAAGCCAGTAGTATGCACCGCTCTAGTGTTCGGCTACAGGTACATGTATGACAGTAGGGATCATTCACATGACAACTGAAGAAGTGGTAGCACATGTGTACTCAATGACAACACCTGGAGGCAAGTTAGCTTGTGCCTCTGTCACTAAAAGAGATGGTCAGGGGCACATTTACAATAGTAAAAATCTAAGCCAGCTGCAGGAGCAAGGGATAGTCTTGGGCAGGCACACACAAGAAACCCAATAATCTCAGCTTCAAAACTGTCCTACCAAGAAGTTCTGTATTTTGGATAGGCCTAACCAAGGAAATCTTCCAATGAGAATGGGAAAAGATAAAGTACACCTTACAAGTCCTGAAAAGTGTCAGTATACTAGATAGTAAGACAGACTCTTTTTTAGAAAGAAATAGTTAAACTTCTGGAACTCAAAAGAAATTCATTTATTTCTTAGAACATTTATTTTTATGGTTCTTTTAGTTTCTTACAGAACAGAAAAAATCTACTTGAAAATAGCCCATCAACTTAATATTATTATAATTTTATTAAAAAATAAAGGCTCACCCTTTCTAACAATTTTTGAAGCTTTAACGTCTTCTCCTCACGCAACTTTTCCCTTAACTGCTGTGCTTTCATGTGCTTCTCTTCATATTTCTTCTTAGATTCTGCTATTGTTCTAGTAATACAAACAAATGAACAAGAGTCACAAATGTTTACAAGACGAGGCTAAAAATAGTGATCTTTGGACTTCCAAAGGCCCAAAGTACACAAAACTCATTTCAGCCTAGTGTTTAAGGTAAGTGCTGTCATTTTTAATACATCTAGAACTGTCTTGAAATAATGTGCCAAAAATGGCCATGGAGCAACTCTGTGATCGTCAACATTCCCTCTTGTCCAGCATTTCAAATGAATTTTCAAAGGCCATACCTTTTACGAGATGGTGAAGAAAGCTTTTCATGCATGTGAATTCCATGCCCTGGAAGTCTGGCAGGTTCCTCTTCTACAATATCCCCCCAGGATGTATTTTGGCGCCAAGATTCACGAGCTGTTCAGAAAAAAGAAAATCACAGTTGCTTAGTCATATAGTTCTATAAAGCTTAACTTTTGAGAAGAAATTTTTTAAATGTGTTGTGCATGTACATGCCTGTGAAAGCATGTGTATATATACATGTGAATATATCACATGCAGGCTAAAGAACAACCTCAGGTGTCATCCTCAAAAACACTGTCCACCTCCTTTGAGACAAGATCTCTAATTGGCCTGGAGCTCACCAATTAGGCTACGCTGCCTGGCCAGCAACCCCCGAGATCTACCTGTCTCGTCTCCCCAGCACAGGGATCAAGAGCATGTGCTACCATGCTTGGCAATTTAACTTGGGTTTTCGGGGTTGAATTCAGGCCCTCATGCTTCTGAGGCAAGTACTTTATTGACTGAGCCATCTCTCCAGCCCTTAGAAGAGACTTCAAAGTTTATAGTTTTCCTTCCTCAAATTATTTATTTTACCCAAAAATTTCATATGAGATGATCTGATGGATCTCATTGTACCTACATAACAAATACACAGAGACATATACACATATGTACCTTCATAATCTGCAAGAACATCATTCCAGTCCATAGACATACCACAGAAAGATACACTCCCACTGCCCATGCTGGCCTAAAATGTAATAAAAGAAATTAAAATTTGGTTTTGGAACACAATGTTATAATCCTTAAAAACTATTTTCCTGTCACTAATAAATTTTATTGAATCAACAATTTAAAACCAGAAAAAAGGTACATGCCTTATATAGTCATCATAATTACCAAGTTGAGAGTCTATTAGCCATTTACAGGAACACATGAATCACATTTCAAAAGAAATAAACAAATCTTATAACTACATGAATACTTACATATACAAAGCACACATTAAAATTAAAGATTATTTGTAGGAATTAAATTTAATAGAAAAATGTGAAATATAAAACTTATGGTTGTTTTTAATCTTCCATAAATCTCCTTCATTGACATTTGTACCCTGAGCACTTAACAACAAAGCACTGTGTCATTTGCTATTTCTTAGTAGAACACAGAAAGGACAATACCTTACATTCTTTTTCAGTCTCTAAAAATTACAGTCTGCATGATGCTGAACTCTAACTTTCTGAGAGACTCAATGTATCTATTTGTGAAATAATAATAACTCCCAACTTGTCAACTGCATCATATATGGAAATACTTCATAATAAAAATATTAAACAAAGATTTGCTATATTTTGTTATCTAATCGACCACTATAATAATTACTATACAAGATTTTAAAATAAATCATTTAAGTAACACTGGATGAAATCTAAGTCTTTCTGGTCCTAAGAATTTTATATCTGTATCTAACATAACTGAACAATTGTGTTAAAAGTGCTAAAAGCTCACAGAAAAGTCACTGTCATTGTCAGTTTCAATGTTGATATCATTGTTTTCCTCGGCTTCAATCTCTCTAGTCAGCTGCTCTTCCTCAGCAATGGCGCTGGCAATGGCCTCTTCGTTGGCCTTTTCTAGGCGATCTGCTAGCTCTTCCTTTTTAGCGAGGACTTCAGCCATGGACTGTAAAGTTAAAAACAAAGAAAAAAAAATCATGAAAAATTAACTAATAATTTCTCCCTTTATAAGCTAATAATGAACTAAACAGTATATATAAAACAAATATTGACCTAGAATCATAAGGTACGCCTAACCACTGGCTAACAGTATGACTTACAAGGTACTTGAAATCAAGACGTTTTTACTATTCCATAAAATGAAACAATAATCCATGACTGGCAGTCTTTACCAGACTGTGTATGAGAAACTGAAAAGTTATATAAATAAAAGGTATTATAATGTCAAAATATCAATTATTTGAATGTCAAAAGTCAAAAGTTACAGATTAAATATGCTCTCTAAATAGGAAACATAAATGGTATACTATAACAGGAGCATAAAAGAATAGAGGCTGTAGAGGTGATTGTATATCTTGAACATATATATGTAACTTAAAAATAACCATTAAAAGTACTGCAAGTAATATTCCTGAGAATTATCAATCAAATTCTACAAGGAGCTCAAGATTTATACTATAAAGTCTAAAACAATAAGACAACAAAACAAAATGTTATGGTTAATAAACCAAGGGAGATAAAATGGCACTTTAAAAAGTAAAAAAGGAGACAAATTATGTGAGTCAATGGGAAAACAAATAGTGAAGATGATAGTTTTCAACAAATCCCATCAATAATCACATTACATGTAAACAGTCTAAACATCACCAATTAACCAACAGATTGCCAGAGTGGATAAAAAGCAACACCCAACCATGTTTCCCATAAGAAACTTACATATAATGATACAAACAGCTTAAAAGTTTTTCTTTTTAAATCTACACTAGCAATAACCACCACCACAACCACAACAACAAAAAACACAGATTTAGCTAGGCATGGTGGCACAGGCCTTTAGTCCCAGCACTCGGGAGGCAGAGGCAGGTGGATCTCTGTAAGTTCAAGGCCAGCCTGGTCTACACAGCAAGTTCCAGGCCAGCTGTGGCTACAAGGAGACTCTGTCTCAAAAAAGACAAAAAAAACAAAAAACGAAAAACAAAAAAAACCCACAGATTTTGAGAAGGCAATTTCCTAAAAATAAAGGGGACACTTCATCAAGAAGGCAAAAGTCTCTTAAATTTTATGAACATAAAAGAGTTTCGAACTAAATGAGGCAAAACTTGAACTACAAAATAAAAGAAACCTAATAACAATAAAAAACTGTGTTATCACTTTGGAAACCAGCCTGACTATTCTTCAAAAGGTCAAGCATACAGCTTATATGACCCAGCAGTTTTATTCCTAGGTGTGAATCTGGAAAAATAAAAACATTACTCTACATAAAAACATGTGTGCAAATATTTAAAGTAGGGCTACTCATAATAGCTAATAGCCAGAACACAGAAACAACCTGACGAATGGATAAATACAGTGGAGCACTTCAACACAATGGAACACTATCTGGTCATAAAAATGAAGAAATACTTAAACAGGCTAAAACATGGATGGATCTCAAAGTATTAAGGTGCATAAAAGAAGCCAGTGTTATATCCTATTTCTATGTCATGTCCAAATAGGCAAAACTATAAACTCCAAAGGCAAATGAGTAGTTATAGGTCTGAGGGAGGAATGGGTGCTAATGAGTCCTTGGTTTCCTTATTGATAGAGCCCCCATAGAAATGAAAATACAGGTTCATGCAAAGATGTGTGCACGGGGCTGGGGATGGAGCTCAGTGGTAGATCACTTGCTAGAATGCACAAGTCCTTGGGTTCAACTCCCAGAGCTGCAAACCAAAAAAAAAAAAAAAACAAAAACAAAAACATTAAGTATGTCCACAAATATTCCTATTGTTTTTAACCTAACAAATAAAAATCTAGAAGCAACTCAAATGTCCAAAAGCAAATGAGCAAACATGCTGCTGCATAAAGCACACTAGTGAAGCTGGGACATAATGAACTACTGAGGCGCAACTACAGAGACGAACCTAGAAATGACTACACTGCTGAAAGATCACACGACACCATATATGTAAACTAATGAAAATGTAAACTTCACTACAGTGAAAGACAGCAACATAGAACCCTTGGAAGGGAAGAGGGCAAGGGTGGAGCCAGGAGCAGGAGTGATGAATGTAATGTGTAGACCTTGCAGAGCACTCACTGTGTCCAGGATCTTGACTACAGTGGTGCTTTCAATGGTATAAACACAAGCAAACATTTATCAGCATGTGTGAGTTAAATATGTAAAGATTACTAAAAATAAATTATAATTCAATAAAAGTATTTTAAAATACAAATTCTAAAGTTCAAGGTTCTTTGTAGATTGGAACAGAATCAGCACATTTGCATTTTTAAAGATTTATTTGTTTTTATTTTATGTGTATGAGCATATTGCCTGCATGTGTGTAAGTGCATCCGTGTCATGTGATGCCCAAAGAGGTCAGAAGAAGGCATTGGATTCCCCTGAAACTGAAGTTAGAGATGGTTGTTAGCCATCATGTGTGTGCTGAGAACTGAACTGGAGTCCTCTGAAAGAGCAGTCAGTGCTCTTAACTGTTGAACCATCCCTCCAGCCCCCACATTTGCATTTTTAAAGCTTTCCCTCCTAACTAAGATACTCCCTTCAAAGCACATGTTCCTGAGGATGAGTAGGCTTAAAGAGTGTTACTGTGCATCATACAGTCTTCCTATAAGCTTCAAAGTCCTACAGAAACTGACTATTGCTAATATGCTACACAAACCTTATAAAAAACAATAAACTCCAGGGGCTAAAGAGATGGTTCAGAGCACTGGCTGCTCTTAGAGAGTACACAGTTTCAGTTCTCAGCACCCACATGGCAGCTAACAACCAATTGTAACTCCAATTCCAGGGGACCCAACATCCTCTTCTGACCTCCACAGGCACTTGCACAACACTGGTGCACTTACATATATGCAGGTAATATATTCATACACATAAAACAAAAGTAATAAAATATAAAACATAAAGACAAATTTCAAATATTAAAGATATATAGTGTACATACACACACACATATTGCAAAAAGAAACTTCGCACATAAATCTGTTCTATTGCCTCATTTTGTCTGTCAATTCTATCTTCCCTGGAATATATTTCTACTTGAAATGTGAAAAATCTAAAGATTCAAACCTAGTACCAGAGCTTTTAAATGACATTCAGTTATCCCTATGCAACTTTATATTATGTAGTGAAATACAAATAAATATCTACAGAGACTATTATTTAATCAGTTTTTCACTAAAATATGAAAATGTCAGTAATTCTAAAACATTAGATCAGTGGAAGCTAGATGTATAAGAGTGTGTGAGTGTGTGTGTGTGTGTGCATGCGAGCTTCCAAGCACAGGCTTGTGAAGGTCAGAGGACAACTTATGGGAGTTAGTTCTCTCCTTCCACCATATGGGTTTTAGGGACCAAACTCAGGTCACCCGATTGGCTCCCTCACCTGCTGAGCCACCTCACCAGCCCAGAACATCATATTTTTATGATGCTAGCAAATGTTGACCTTTTCTAAAGCTATGAATCAAACCTAGAGCCCCACACATGCTGATCAATTACTTAGATTCTGCAGTCATTTTGGTAATGTTTCTGCTAAAAAAAAAAAATGCAGGTATTTGGGGTTTTGTTTTACTTTCCTTTAAGCAACCCAGTGACAGTGTCATACTGAGAAACCAAAGAAAAACCAGTTTTCTCATGACTTCAGGTTTCTGTTACTCTCTAGTTAAGAATCTGCATACAGATTCAGCACTTAAGAACACTGTTCTTGCAGAAGACCCAGGTTCAAATCCCAGCACCCACATGGCAGCTAACAACTATCAGTAACTCCAGTCCCAGGGGACCCAACAGCCTTTTCTGACCAATGCAAGCATTGCATGATACATGCATACACATAAAAAACAAATAAATAAAAAATTTTTAAATGTCCTTATATAATTAAATTACAATATAAACAACTTTTATGCTATCTAGCTGTGGAGACAAAATAAATAAAAATGTTTACACCTTAAGTTAATGTCACCACTGATTTGACCTTAATTATGTTCAATCTTTAAAAATGTTCATCACTGCAGACAGTAGCAGGGATATCAGAGTATAAGGACTCTAGTGGGGGGAGGGAGGCTATGGGAGGGTGCTACCTGGGAAGTGGGTCTATAAAAAAAAATTCTTCAAAGCATAAAAATTTGCTCCTTAATAACTGGTGGATGTGAAGAACATTGCCATTGAAATCTACCTAATGACTTTATATCTATGCTCAGACGCTAAGGAGCTCAGGAAGTAACCGACTGTGACTAGCAATAATATATATAGAGAGATATATAGAGATTAGATATATCTCTATATAGAGATATATAGAGATTAGAAACGCATGTGCAAACATGTTAATGTTAAATAATGAAATGGAGATCTTTTTCAAAGTTTAAAAAAAAATGTTCATCACTAAAAGACTTTATTTTAGGAATCTAAACATTTACCTTCCTTACTGCTGTCATGTTCTCTTCATTATTTTCCCCTTAAACATCCCTTATCAATTTTCATCTATACTATCATCTATACTATGATTATCTCTTTATCAGTATCACATGCTGATATCATAAGTCACTAAATTTTAAAAGTATTATATACAATTATCTTTTACAATATTTTATTATCAGCCTTTTATTACATACAATTTTTAATTAATTTATTTTTATTAATTTTTTTGTGTATTTCATATAAAACAGTTCAAAAACTCTTATCTTAATCATCAGTGCTCCTGTCCCCACTGGCACCCGCCCACAGCCCCACTGCCTCCACTGGAGCCTATATCCTCAGTCATCATTGTCAAGGCCCACTGGGTTGTCGGTGTCCCCAGCTGTTCCCCAGTGCAAGTCTGTCCACTAAGTCTAATCAGCCTCTCTAGAGTCCCTTGTTTCAGGCCTAAGTGACACAGCTACAATACAACCTCCACACCTAAGGCTCATGGAACATAGAACAGGGATAATGAAGATGACACTAATCAATCTCTCAGGTCTCAGTAATAAAGCTTCCTCAGGCAGCGGAGGGCCAGGAACACAAAAGGTCACAAATAGCCAAAGTGTAGAGAGCAAGAGTCTGCTGAATGCTGATCCTTGGGCAGGATCCCTTTATTAAACTTTTCCAACCCAAGGCTCAAGGACCATTGCAGAAGAGGGGGCAGAAAGGCTGAAAGAGCCAGGAAAGAGGTGCATGATCATATGGAAATGAAGTCCTACAAGCTCCTGGGAACCTGTCCATATGATTCTATGGCAATGGTGTCAGCAAACACAGGTCTCACGCAAGCTCAAGCAGACAATAACTCAGCATAGAACTTGGAAAAATGAACAAGAGACCTCAATCTTATCTGAAGGAATGTTGGAAACTGATTACTGCTAGATGAAGAAAAGCTGATACTTCTTGTTTTTATTTTTTAATTTATTATTTATTTATTAATGTATTTAATACATTACATAGCTCAAATATATCTTAATCATCTTTATACCCATCCTCACTGGCACCCTGTCATAGTATCCCCCCTCCATGGAACCCATATAGTCGGTCATCCCTGTTAATGCCCACTGGGTTGTCAGTGTCCCCAGCCATTCCCCAGTACAAGTTTGTCCACTAAATCTAGTCAGCCTATCTAGAGTCCCTTGTTTTAGGAAGATCAGTTCTTCATCTAGCAACAATTTAGTCCAGGGAACTAGACTGAAGAATTGGGTTGGTCTGGGTACAAAGGATCAGAAAGCAGTGAAGTCAGGGCAGGGTAGTCCAGAGGGCTGGGGAGCCAGGAGAAGAGGTGGGCCAGTGCCCATGCTAGAAGGAGAAAGGGGATGTGGGGGCTGGGAGTTTGAATCTAGTTATGGGAGTCAAGGCACAATAGCTTACTTATTATTTTTATATGTGTATGAGTGTATTGCCTGCATGTAAGTGCACCTGTGTCTGCAGAGGTCAGAAGAGGGCATTAGATTCCCATAGAACTACAGTTGTTAGCCATCATGTGGGTGCTGGGAATAATCTGGGTCCTCTTGCACCTGTGTCAGGGAATGCCTGCAGAGGTCAGAAGAGGGCATTAGATTCCCATAGAACTACAGTTGTTAGCCATCATGTGGGTGCTGGGAATAACCTGGGTCCTCTGCAAGAACAGTCAGTTCTTTACTGCTGAGCCAAGTCTCCAGTCCCTATTTTTATTTTCTATGTATGAGTGTTTTGTCTGCATGTCAAGTGTACCCGTCGTGCAATTATGGAGGCCAGAAAAAGGTGTTAGATCCCCTGGAACTGGAGTTAGGGACAGTTCCTAGCTGCCATGTGGGTGCTGGGAACCACCCCAGGTCCTCTGGAGGAGCAACCAGTGCTCTTAACTGCTAAGCCATGTCTCCAGCCCCCACAATGATCTTTTAAAAATAAAATTTGAGGGACCTGGGAGATGGCTCATTTAGACAATCTGAGTTTGGGTGTCTAGCACCCACATAGAAGTCAGGTACAGCAGCACTCACTTGAAACCTGGGGATGGCTGTGGGCGAGTGACAGAGACAGTCCAGTCCCTGGAGCTCACTGGTGAGTCAGGCTAACAAATCTGTGAGCTCCAGGGTTAGTGAGGAACCCTGGCTTCAAAAAAGTAAGGTACAGCATGATAAGAAAGACACCCTGACACTGACCTCTGGCCTCCACACACGTGCATGGACACATGCATGCACATGAGCAGACATACACATAAACACATATATACACCACACACATCCACAAAATGGAATTAAAAAATAAAATTGAGCCAGGCTGGTGGCACATGCCTTTAATCCCAGCACTCGGGAGGAAGAGGCAGGCGGATCTCTGTGAGTTCAAGGCCAGCCTGGTCTACATAGTGAGTTCCAGGACAGCTGGGGCTACAAAGAGACCCTGTTTCAAAAGACCAAAAAAATAAAATAAAATAAAAGTGAATAATTTTTAGCTCACTTATAAATGTGCCTATTTCTTTAAAAAGTTACTTACGTGAAGCTAGTATGTCCTATTTTGGATGAATCCCAGGGAGATGTGTATTAATATTAAAAGAGCAATAGAAATAGAAGAGCAGAAATTAAGTAATCACCTAAAACATAAGACCACAGACAGTTGATGCATTTTTCAAATATTCAGACTAGAGATGACTCCATCGTAAAGACCAACTCTAACTGGTTGGGATGGCCCACTCCTGTAAACTCAGCACTTGGAGGTGAAAACAAGAAGATGACAAGCTCAATGCCATCCGTAGCTACACAGCAAATTCAAGCCCAGTCTAGGCTACATGAACCTTTGTCTCAAAAAAACCCCCAAAACCAAAAGAAGGACCAACACATAACATGCCCCATCTATCAGAATACCAGGTATTTCACAGACGCCTCTACTATTACAGAATTAGTAGTTTTCTTTTCTTCTTTTTCTTATTTTTTTAATGTGGATGCTAGGTTTAGCTTCTTAATCCTGGGACAAAGTACATTTGATCAAAATACATGTAAACTGAATGATTTTGAACAAGTTTTTAACCATTATAGTATCACTTTCATCCTCAACAAAAATCTTAAGTATTTGAAATTTTTACTGTATAAAAAAGGCAAAATGAAATAACACATAAAATTTTTTACAAAACTTGCCTGCTAAACTATAAAGTCATAAATAATACAAATGAATATTATTGGGTTTATACATTTTAAATGTATATACGCAGAATTCTGATAAGTTGTTCTTACCAAGTTAGCAGCACTCACATTTGAAATATCTGAAGGGTCCATTTCATTTTCTACCCCTGCCTCCTCTGCTGGAACTTGGTCTTCATCTGCTTGCAAAGGTGTGGTAGTTTGCTGAGTAACTGAAGCCCAATCTGTATCGATGTGAACAGCTGGTATTTCAGAAGTTTGCACAGAATTGTCTTGACTACTGCCAGAATTCTTGACATCATCCAATATACTCACTGTGAACTAAAAACACATACTTATAGAATAAGCCAGACTCCCTCCTCTATCCTTAGAGATACTAGCGCCAAAGGCCTTTTGAAAAAGTCCAATGGAAACTTATTACTGTAGAAGCTTCCTAAAATATGTACATATACATATATTTTTTAAGTTTAACTAATGTAGTTACTCTATAATGGGGTGGGGGGTGGCAGGGGGGGCTGGAGAGATGATGACAACACTGCCCCTACTAGACAATACAGGTTAGCAAATAAAAAGCCCAGGGCCAAGAATGGGTGATCTCTTTTGGAGCTGTTGGAGGGAGTGAGGGGAGACCCACAGACCTTCAAACAGTACTGGCTATTATCACTGCTCTTGGTTACCCTCCAGAACTTGACAGGAAGACCCTATTGCTGAAGACACCACATCATAGAACATGGAGACATACAGCTGGTACTGACCTGGAAGCTCTATCTCTATTGCCTAGTTTTCATAAGCCTGGAAGGTGCTGTGCACTCTACCAGAGGAGAAAGGTAATTATCACGCTTAGCCAGCTGTGAACCTCTTGGGTTAAAATAATGAGTGGGCTTGCAAAATTTGCCAACTGCTGTAATAGTGGCATGAATGTTATAGGAGTAATCAACCACTCTCTGACTAGATTTAAGGCTCATTTCACAAGATGGAACCCATACTTGGCACCATTTTGGAGGCCAAGAACCTCTGGCCAGACAGGTTATAGATCCTAGGGGAGGAACCTCCTACTATTATTCTGCTAAATGAACATAACATTAAACCAACTCCTAATGACTCATGGTTATACTCATAGATTAGCGCATCTCACTTCATCAGAGAAGCTTCTTTTTGTAGTACATGGTGATTAACACAAAAACCCGCACTTTGTCAACACACAGAGAGTAAGAGACTGCAGAATGTTCATCCCTAAATGCGGTATCTGGATCACACCCCCTCCTCCCAAGGCTCAGGGCCTATCATGGAAGACACAAGGGAGGCAGAAAGGTTGTAGGAGTCAGAGGTAGTTGGGTGACTACGATGTAACAGTGCTTTCTGGATACTACAGGGAAGTTGCACATATGAACTCAAGTATAACAGCATGTACAAGACTTAGGCAGGCTCAAGCCAAACAAAATCCCTGAATGGAGAAGGTAGGTGGGCACAAAGTCTCACCCCTAGCAGAGAACTGACAACTGATAGCTGCTAAGAAAGGTATAATAAGCTTTCTTTAAAGGTGTGACCACTGGAAGGTTGATCATACTGCAGGGATGGACCCACACTGAAGTGTAGTTGGGCAACACAAATTGGATGTGATGGATTTAAAAAAAATAAAAAAAGACATGAAGTTGGGCAGGTAGGGAAGAGGGGGAGATCTGGGAGGAGATGGTGGAGGGTGGAGGGATGAACATGAACAAAATAAAATGTATGAAATTCTCAAAAGAATAAAAACATTATTTTTTATGTGTATGAATGTATTGCATATGTGTAAGTAAACCCATGCCATGCAATGCCCACGGTTAGAAGAGGGATTCGAATTCCCTGGATTAGAAGTTACGGACAGTTGTCAGTCACGATGTGGGTGCTGGGAATTGAACCTGAGTCCTCTACAAGAGCAGTCACTGCTCTTAACCACTGAGCCATCTCTCCAGCCCCAGAAAAAAAAACGTTATTCTTAAAAAGAATCAACCAGAGATAATGCCTTAAAACACTAAATATTTGATGCCACAAGAGCTAGTCCTGTTTAATCTAGCAACTGTGAAGCAGCTCCTGAACCTGGCTAACAGAAAACTTGCTTTTTCATGTTTGAAGTACAACAAAAGGCAAGAATCCATTCAGCTGCACAAATTTTATCTGAATGCCTACTCTGTATTGGGTATTGTCTGTAGTACTCTCAGAAACTAAGCAATTAAATTGTAATTATATTTCCTTTTAGTAAACTGGTACCTTCATTTCTTACATTTATTTAGTGTTTGTATGTTCACATCTTCAAGGGAACAAACACATGCCACAAAGCTTGTGTGGAGATCAGAGGACAACTTGTAGGAGTTGGTTTTCTATTTCCACCAAGTGAGTTCCTGTTATCAAACTCAGGTCATTAGCCTTGGCAGCAAGTACCCTTATTAACTTAGCTATTTCACCAGCCCTAATGGTCTGATTCTTAACAAGCACTTCATATCCCTCATAAGGAAATCTAGAGAAAGCATAATACTGCTATACTCATACAGCCAAAGGTATTTATATAGTCTTGTGAATTCTCTTCTATTAGATAAGAATATTCAACATCCTGAAAATACCATGAAACCATTTCTCACTAAAACATATTTTGAGGCATTTTACTTAAAGTTATCAAACCTGTCTTCTTTAGAATATGACCTCATAGGGTTTTTTTTTTTTTTTTTTTTGAGCTTTCAGGGAGGTTTTTTTTTTTTCCTCATAGATATTTTTATAGATCACATAGAGTAGGTGATACTAATTCCCAGATTGGTAAGAAAAGATTAAGCTAAGAGTAAGATCTAAAGTATGCAGTGTGTCTCAACATGCACTATATCTTAGATGAAGATGTCTATCAATCCCCCTTACTAATTAACACATAACCAACAGAAATGTGAAAATATAAAAAGACAGTAATATTGTCTAAAAGTAAATATATATCCATATTTTTTTAAGAATCTAAATTTCAGGAGGAGGCGGGAAAAATCTAACTTAGAACATACAGCCAAGTGTATTTTCAGAGTAACAGAATAGTACTTTGTGTTCCAATTATACTCCACATCAAAGAACTAAAACCTAAAATTGTGAATGCAATATCACATCACTTCTTACATAAACATTACACAAATGTTTATGGCAGTGGCCATAAAGCTCCCAGTTTGATCATTTCTACAAATACGAAACTTGGCCAAGTCTCACAAACTACTCCAGAAATTCTACTATTGGTAAGAACTTGGTGTTCGAAAGTGTTGATTTCAGCATAAACATTATTTAAACTGTATTATGTTGTTTACATTGCTATCAACATTATTTACATGTCAGTCACCATGGCTTATAATCTTCTTGACAATATTTACAATAGCAGTACTGATGTTTACAGTACAGTTGACTCTGAGTTTATTAAAACTCAGTATCATTGTATAATGAAATCAAAGCTATAAAATAAAGTTGAGAAAAGATATAAAAATGCTAATTTCATTTTGAGGGTGACAGTGTAGAAAACAAATACTGATGACAGTACTTTTTGAGACAGGGTCTCACTATGTATTGCGCTTGCTGGCCTGGAGCTCACAGAGCTGTGCCTGCCTCCCTCTCCCTCTCCCTCCTGGGTGCTGCCACCCCTTTCATCCTTTCATCATCAGCACTTGACCACCATCAGAACGAAACTTTGATAATGAAACATTACAGCAATATTTTAATTATTCAAAAAATTTTGTATGAATTATTCTTAAAAATCTCAAAAATCATACAAATTTATTCACTACACAAAAGTATCATTAATTTTTATATTAAGGTATTTTTTAGGTAAGGTACATAGGAAAAAATTCTAAATGTTTGTTATATAAAATTAAAAGTGATTTCTTAGGCCAGGCGTGGTGGCGCACGCCTTTAATCCCAGCACTTGGGAGGCAGAGGCAGGCGGATCTTTGTGAGTTCAAGGCCAGCCTAGTCTACATAGTGACTTCCAGGCCAGCTGGGGCTACAGGGAGACCCTGTTTCAAAAAAGAGCAAAAAATAGTGATTTGTTGCCAGGCATGGTGGTGAAGGCCTAGATGGTGGTGAAGGCCTAGAATCCCAGCACTGAGGAGGAAGAAGCAGGATCATCATGAGGATCACAGGGTTACAGAGTGAGACCCTATCTCAAACAGCAGAAAGAGAAAGGGGTGGCAGCACCCAGGAGGGAGAGGGAGGCAGGCACAGCTCTGTGAGCTCCAGGCCAGCAAGGGCAATACATAGTGAGACCCTGTCTCAAAAAGTAAAAAAGTGTGGGAAGAAGTGAGGGAAGAAGTGAGAAGAGACAAGGGAAAGAGGCAGGAAAGGAGAAAGATTTCTTCACTAAGAATCTCTACACACACAAGTTTCTAAAAAGCTATATCCAACAAATATATCCTGATTATTTTCTATGTCTAGGACTCTCCCATATTGTCTGAAATAAAAACACTTCTGAAGATATTGCCTCCAGAAAGACAGCATCTTCAACAAATGGTGCTGGGCAAAACGGGATCGCCACCTATAGAAGAATGAAACTAGATCCTTATCTTTCACCTTGCACAAAAGTCAACTCAAAATGGATCAAAGACCTCAATGTGCAACTGGAAACCCTGAAACTACTAGAAGAAAATATTGGCAGTAACTTACAAGATATAGGTGTAGGAAAGGATTTTCTAAATCAGACAGAAGTTGCTCAGGAATCAAGGACAGCAATCAACAAGCGGGACCTCATTAAACTAAAAAGCTTCTGTACAGCAAAAGAAACAATCAAAAAAATGAAGAGAAAACCCACAGAATGGGAAAAAATCTTCACCGGTGACACGTCTGACAGAGGTTTAATATCTAGAATATATAAAGAACTCAAAAAACAAAGAACCAAGAAACCAAATGACCCAATTAAAAGACGGGCTAAAGATCTAAACAGAGAGTTCTCAAAGGAAGAAATAAAGATGGCTAAGAAACATCTCAAAAAGTGTTCAACATCATTAGTAATTACAGAAATGCAAATTTAAACCACTCTAAGGTATCACCTTACCCCAATCAGACTGGCCAGGATCAAGAGAACAAATGATACCAAATGCTGGCAAGGATGCGGAGGAAGGGGAATGATCATTCACTGCTGGTGGGATTGCAAACTCGTGAACCTCTATGGAAAACAGTGTGGAAAACTCTTAAAAACTAAAAATGAATCTACCATATGACCCAGTTATACCACTCCTTGGCATATACCCAAAAGTCTCATCCTATTGTATAGACACTTGTACAACCATGTTTGGTGCTGCTCTTTTCACAATAGCTAAGAGATGGAAGCAACCTAAGTGCCCCTCAACTGAAGAGTGGTTAACAAAAATGTAGTATATTTACATAATGGCGTTTGAGTCAGCAGTAAAGAAACATGAAATAATGAAATTTGCAGGTAAATGGATGGATCTAGAAACTGTTATACTAAGTGAAGTAACACAGACTCAGAAAAACAAACGACCTATGTTCTCCCTCATATGTGGCTCCTAACACCAAATCCTTTTAAATTCCAGGTCCTTTTAATAAGAAGATGCTATACAGCAGTCCCTTCTGCATGAAATAACCACCATCATCACAACTTTGGCTGAGCCTGATCACTAAACATAGTCACAATTGGGCTTGTTGGAGGTTGTGCTCATTCATTAACGGAGGGCCAAGCAGGGTCATTGGACCCTCACTGGATTATCCAGCCACTCTTCCCAGCCAACTGTATGTAATTTGACCCTAATCACACATGGCCTCCTTGATTTGGGGAGGGCTAAAGTATACAATCTTGGGAAGGCTAGGAAGAGAAGTCATGACCCACGCTGGGTAAAGGGTTTCTAGAGTGTATACCCTCAGGTCATACATACACCTCAGCAAACCCTCAGTTACCTTGCTAAGTAAGCTCAATAAATTCATTGGTTCCCCAGTAAAACTGTCATCAAATATTGATGTGACACTAGAACCTTAAAAGGGAATAAGCATTGCTTAGCATCCCCAGGAAAAGAATTCTCACAACAGATGGAAAATTTGTTAATGTTTTTATGTCTCATGGTTATTAGAAAGAGAATGGTAAGCTAAAAGATGTTAGAAGGATATAGACGTGGAGGTATGGG